ATATTCGAGAAATTTCAAATAAAAACCATTACCCGTTATGTGCGTCATCAACACCAAACATAAATCCTTACCAATGTACAAACGATAGTGTATTATTTTTACTACAAATGCACTTGATTTTAAACAATCAGAAAACGTCGAATCATAGAGAGAAAAGGTAAACAAAATTGTAATATTTCAATGAATGAATTTTCATGTTTTCTGTTGGCTTTTTGGTAAAATTATAATCTTAAAGTGTCTATAACATTTAATAAATTCCTTGATAAAAAAATGTTGTACTGGTAAATATTTCGTAAGAATTGTAGTACAAAGAGTGTATAAAATATAACAAAATCAAAGAAATCACAAAAGTTTGAATAGCTTTTAAAGGATGGCAACATGTATGCAATTCATCCATGGTGTTATGTGGCATTTAAATCATTAATTTTTTTGTTTTGCTATTTAATCAGTGCTTGTCTTTTAGTCTTCTGTGCTTTGTAATTGTATCATCTGTCTTCAATAACAAAATCATTATATGCAAAGAGTCAAACTAGAAAATATAACAAACGTGATGATTTTAACTGTCCAGTTGTCAACTTGAATTCCTCAGCAGTAAAAAATATTTTCTGTCCCATCGTATGACATATACATATCTTAACGAATAAGCTAGGATACGCTACGCTCGTGCATAATAAAGATGACCAGTATATTGATATTGACGAACGAACATAGCTGGACGAACGAACGTAATAGGAGCGGTAATTGTATGTTTACAAAACATAGTTTAACCTTAAAGATGTTATTATTTGGATGGCATGTAATCATGAAAATAGATAGAAACACATGAAATATACCGATTTTAAAAAGGTTTTCATGATATAAATGAAAGACGTTTAAAAGTTTCTGCTAGTGTTATATATCTTACGATACACTGTGGTTACATTTTATTATTGTTTAAAGCATGATGAAATGTACCTCACATATATGATTATTCGAGTGCACCGACGACATTCGCAAAGCTCAAACATATATTTATGCAGGATTTTGATGATGTGAAACAATTTATAAAATAACAAGATTACTAAATAACTGTTGTCGGATTGTATGTTTGCTCAATGTTTTTCATTTGGGTATTGAAGTTTCAACCCTCCCTCCACCGCCAAGGGTGACTGGGGAATAGAAGTATATTCATTACAGGTCTTCTTCCGATCCACAGTGAAACCTTTGACCAAGTTTGGCGTCGGTTTGGCAGTGCAGGATGTACAAGTACGCAGCCACGTCAGGTTAAACCCGATGCCTCGTTTAGAGAGATAGTCACGCTCTCTGCACCTTAAGAACTCTTGCAACACTTTTGTGATGGGTCCGTATACTTAGGTGGCCTGTTGCAAGGTTAAATTTCTGTCCCTATCCAATATACCCTTGTTTTCCAATGGAAATCTAAATTTACCCGACTTCCTCTATCACATTGTATTTATTGTTAATTTGTTTTCGTCCTAAACATGCATCAACTTTTTGACACTGGACGTTAAGCAACCAACCATAACTAAATCAATCAATCAAGTTTCAAACAAGCAAATCTATCAGTTTTCAAAAAAAAAAAAAAAAAAAAAAAAACTTATAGTATTTTGAACCAGTTAAAAATAATGATTTTTGGTTTTTTTTTTTATCTTATCTGTCAACCTCTGAGGATGGCGAAACTTGTTAAGTATAAAAAAAAAAACACTAGTCAAAACGTTTTTAAAGGGGATTTAACTAGACAAAAGGGGTCAATTAATAAAGCATACGAAGAGAACTTTAAAGCCTTACGACTATATACGGAACTTTATAAATTTTGGTGATATCCAGTATGTACATAATCATTGCATCTCCTGTGACATGTTTATTTAATGCAATTGTAAAAATACTTTCCACCGATTTAAGTATTTCAAGTTGATTTCACAAAATATCCAGAAGGCAAAATATATGACCGACACGATGTGACTTCTTTTTTAAACCGCTGTATTTAAGAGTTCTTATATTTGTAGATACCAAAATGGTCATCTGATCTGTAAATTTACAGATTGTGTTGTATTCCGTCGTTGATGATGATTTTATATTGCATCATTTTAATTTTTCGATTGATATGAAAACATTTAGTGATTTCTTCAATTTTAATGAACATGTAACTCAATAATTGAATGCGGTATAAACTTTACTAACTTTATAGACATTTAGGAATTGCAGTTGCACAATGATTTACAAATAGAAATCAATAGAAAAACGTTGGTTACATTGTGGATTATTCACATTCCGTGTGTTTTCATACTTTTAGTTGTTGTTTTGTCAATTTTATGTCAATATCAGAAGATCGTAGGTTGACATCTAAAAGTCATTCTTATAGGTCAAGAAAGGCAGTGTACGAATCCACGACACAAAGACCCAAACATGATCTTGACAAATCATAAGCAACGATTGATCGATTAATTGATTGATAAGTGTTTAATGCCACTTTCAAGCCTATTGTGCTATTTCGTGGCGGTCAGTTTTTATTGATGGAGGAAGTCGGAGTGCCGAGAACCACTGAACTTCGGTAGGAAAACTAACAATCCTAGTAAATTAAGATTATTGTTAAGTGTACCTTCCACGTACGAAGTTCGAACTCACAACCCGCACAAGCAACGAAATTGAGGTTTTATGTTTGTTAGTTATGTAAACATTAAAGCAAGATATTAACCAATTTGACAAAATCGCACACCTCATTATAAGTTTGAGGTGACAACTGAAGCTGAGATGAATGGAATTCCTCGATAAATGTCGATAATGCAAAATATGCAGAAGAACACAGAATATAAACAAATAAAAGATTGTAACAGGCACAGGAATTAAACAAATTCTGCAACAAACCATTGCAAACTATCCGAACATCTCACTTAAAATTACACATGAAAACGAAAACAAGGAAAACATTTTGATTAAGATATCTACATACCACATCACGAAAACTGTTATATAATTTGACAGAAAATTGTTATAAATTTCTCCAAATATTCATATTTAATAACAATTGTTACAGAGAACAGAAACAGCAGAGTATATGAATCACGATTAGACAAACCGAGGTAAATAAACATTTTAATCCCCGAATAATCGAAATCAGTAGCGGTAGCCGGTTATCATCATATTAAATAAGATAATGTAAAACGTTTAGCAGGGATTTTTTTGGTTTACAAATGAGCAACGCTGGTCAGTAATATTATGTATGAGCAGCACTACAAGAACACTTGATTCTGAATGACCAACTTTTGTCTGAATTTTCATAACTTTTGTCTTTCCACTAATATGTAAAGAATTACTTTTCCGCAATGTTATTCACATTGTCTAAATCCTCTTGAATTTCTTTTATTATTCACCAACAATCTTAAAACTGTAAATACTTCTAAACACATTTTCAACATTTTTCAATTCCGGTGAATCTTATTCAAGGTCACAAATTGTCCAGCCAAATCCAAAAGACCTGATGGCTTTATTATAATCAAGTACGATGTTATAACAAAAATCAAAATCTAGAATTTCAAATTAAATTTGACCTTGACATAAATTTCTATGTCTAAGGTTAATGACCTGACAAAAACCCAGGTTCATGATATGCATAGTTTAAAACTCAATCTACCAAACAGCTTATTTCGAATATACAGGGGAAGAAACTCCTATAAAAGTCACCAGAGCACTTTGACCTTAATGTATTGGCCTAGCGCCATGTTTACAACTTAACATTTTCAAAAAACCTTGTGCCGAACACTTTTATAGTTTTTCAATAGTTGTGATAACAAACAATATTCCGAATTGAGAAGAAGACCCTAAACATGCTAAACGCAGGATTTCCTTATCCTTCTGAAGCACCTGCAATCCCCAAAGATGTTTTTAGGAGGGGGGCTTGTGTTGCTCAGTTGTTAGTTTTCTATTTTGTGTTTTGTGTTCTGTTGTTTGTCTTCTTGGATTTTTGTTCATTTTTGCCATGGCCTTGTCAGTTTGTTTTCGACTTATAAATTTTAATATACCTTAGGTGTCTTTGTCCTCTCTTTTCCTGCTTATTTACTAATCACCTCATATCAAAAGCGTCTAGGTCTCTATGACTTATGGTTTTATGAGTTATCGAAACATACCACTTATGGCAAACACAAAAAATAAAAAGAGAAACAAATTAAGTGATAACATTTACGCTTTATAAGAGGCGATAACAGGAAACAGAATACAGGGAGATAGCTCTAATATGAAATAATGTTCGGTTAAGAAGAGAAAGTTTCAAAAGTGCAATAACTTTTTGATATCATATACCAAATGTCTTGTCGACATGCTTCGAAACAAAAGCACATTTCAGAAATCTAGGTGGCAAAAGAAACAAAATATCATGAGAACAAAATCAGGCACAGTTCATAATTTTCAGACCTTTATGACAAAAACCATACAAAATCATTTAAAAATTGAATCGAGACCAAAAGTGAAAAGAGAAAACTCGTTGAAAACACACAATTCTGCAGTTTATTAATCGTAATCTATATGTTTCCCATTTAGTTTTTACCTTTGTTCATGTTGTTGTTGAATTGAACTTGTTTATACGGTCGACATGCATATCTTCCCTTGAAAATGCAAATGAATGCACAACTCTTTCACTTCAACGGCAATATTTGCATACATCTATACAACTGCTTATGAAGACATTCTATCGTCCACACCACGACATAATTAATATGACACGTGTATATTTGTTTGACGTTGGGCAATAATGGAAGTTGGAGACTTGAGCATATAATTGATGTTGAATTATTTAAGACATAGATATAAAACCCCTTAATTAATATTTCAGGGTTTTAAATTTACGGTTATGTTGTAGTTAGACGTATTGGAGTGTACTTTGTTTTACGTTTGTATTTATTCATTCATATAAGAGACATGAGAGAAGCGTGTTAAAAGTCCATTAAATTTGTTACAATAAAGTAAAATGAATTGTAATGCCAAATGTTTTTCTGTCTTATGGTTAATAGACAAACGTCCGAAACAGACAAGCATGTTTATAATGAGTTGCAAGATATAAAATCAGGTGAGTAGAAGCATGATCTAACATTTAAAAGAATTCTAATTAAAATTACTTTTTCGAAAATAAAAACCATATATATTCATTTCAAAATACACAAATTGGTTTACATTTATTTTTAGACCACCCCTTTAAATTTCAGAATTTTGAGTCCTCAGTTACCTTCAACTGCGTACCGCGTTTTTGGAGACGAATCGCGCGTCTTGCGTACAAAATTATGAGACAGCTGGTACCTTTGGTGATTCTCTTTGGATGACATCACAAAAAACGAAAGAAGGAAAAAAGAATGTAATCATAAACTATGAATCAGAGAACTTTTATATCAACCGCTGAACATGCATTCACTTTGACGATAAAAATGTTTAGAAAGTGAAATAAGCCCAACAACATATCATTTACTGTGCTTCGTTTTGCTATCTTGAAAAGGAACAGTTCTTGTTCGACGGATGCCAAGTCAGATCAGGAAGAAAAAATTATTGAAAATACATAATTTATCTAATAAATAAAGGCAACAGTAGTATACCGCAGTTTAATAAAATTAAAAGTTTAATTAGTTTCTATTAAGCGAAAAACAAATCAGGGTAACAAATTAAAACCGAGAGAAACACGTCAACTAAACGAGGAAAACAACGGAACTACAGAAACACTGGACTACAAAAAAGCAAACGCCAACATACATAGACACGGACTGTAGATAACTACTGCCATATTTCTGACTTGGTACAGGACATTTTATGAACAAAATGGTGGGTTGAACCAGGTTTTATGGCTAGCCAAACCTCCAGCTTATATGGCAATGTTAAAAATAGCAATAAAATGACAACATTACGTGACATGAATACAGTACAAACAAACGTATGAACACTCAGCACATAAATAAATAATATTATAGTACATTACAACATGTAAACCGCAGAATAACAAAGGACATCTCCCATGAATTTACGACAGCACACCAGAATACCACAAAAAAAATATAAATGAATGGATCAACGTCGCAAAAAGTGACGTATTTTTTGGACGTTTATATTATCACAGGTAAATTTCTAAAAATAAAATAGATTTTTTTTTATTTATAGACACGTACACGAATATTAAAGTGGGATTGAGCTTGTACATGTTGTAATTGTGTTATTTTGTATATTTTCTAACAATGTCGGTTTTTCTTCTAAATCAAAACTGTGTATAAACAAAACAATTCCTGTGATTATAGTTGCTTTTAACTTCAAATCATATAAATGAAGTAGCTGATTTTTTGTCTTAACTTTTACATGCATATATAAAATAGAAATAAAATAACTGTAATATAAGGCAAGATCATGTAAGACCAAACAGTAAACACACAGGAAAACAAACAACATAAAAGAAAAACCCTATACACGAACTAGGAGAAGCTCGACTATACTGACAAATAATAAACGATGAACATTTAACGTGTTGTTTTCATTTTTTAAAAGATATATAATTACAAACCTATTTGATTTATTATTTTACAGATGCTAAACAGCAGAAGAAAAGCTCAGAAAAAAAGGTAAGTAGTGTATCCTGAAACGCACGTTGCTTAATAAAAAAAAAAAACTGGTATTCTGTTCACAGCAAACGATCATGTCATACTTTGCGTTATGCTTTCTCAGCTACCTTTATTCTGATTTGATTCCAATTCGAACTTTTATTTATTGACGAGTATAAGTACTTCTCAAGTAAACTTGTTTTATCTCTTTTTAAAAATCAGCTGATTGCAATAATGTTCATATCGGGACATAGTAAAAAAATGTTGGGCATTCTGAAAGTTCATGTCTATGTTCACAACATCGTGGTGTAATGAAATTGTATTAATTAAGGGTAACACACTTTAGGAACTACAGAAAAGTCATAGGTAACATAATTATATAGTATTCAAATTAATTTTAAGAATGTGAAATATTATATTATAAATTCAAAATAATATTTATGTTTTTTAGTATTGTTTTGTAATCTAAATAATTATTACTAATTGACTAGACATTTAATGAATTAAAATAAATTAATATTTTTTTACGTCCCAAAAAACTTTCACCAAGAACGCTCAAACCCCAAAAATTTGAAAGCCAAGGATGAACCTAAATGCACGAGGGATTATATGACAAAATATAAGTAAAAAAATAACCATATTTATATAAAATCAACTTTGCATCAGTGTTTCAAACCTTAGTTTCTAAAAGATTATCTTTAATGTCAAGGAACGACTTATGAAATGTATGTTATAAATCATGCCAGTACCAAAAAAAATTCATGATACGATTAGGAACTTACAATCAAGCAGCAGTGATACATCGACCTAGTGCTCATAATTGTAAATATCATTTTATAAACTCCTCAGGTTTGACACGATTTTTTTTATTTAAATTTCGTGTTTAATAATTGTAAAAGAGAGGCGAAAGATACCAAAGGGACATTCAAAATTGTAAGTCGAAATAAACTGACAATGCCATTGCTAAAAAAGAAACAGACAAACAGACAAACAACAGTACACAAAACACAACATAGAAAACTAAAGACTTAGCAACACGAACCCCACCAAAACCCGGGCGTGATCTCAGGTGATCTGGAAGGGTAAGCATATCCTGCTCTATATGTGGCACCCGTTTTGTTGCTCATGTTAGTACAACCCCGGTAATAAGTCTTATTCGGTAGGTCACATTCGGGAAAAATCTAGTCAGTAAGTTTTGTTATCTTAATCATTGTTTTTTTTTTTAACTATAGACTTTAATCTTTGTGTATCAAAATAATTGATAAAAAAATCTTATAAGTTTGTTTTGTTACATAAATTCTTTTTATTTTGTATTTCAAACTTCAACTTTAAAAGAATTACATAATTTTTCCAATTTGGAATGTCCGCAAATGTATGAAATGTTTGGTTCCACGCTGTTATGGGTTACCCTTTAAGGTATACTTTTAGCATGTGTGGTATAATATTTCAATACTATAAAAAAATCTATTGGGGAAAAATGAAAAGAAATGTTTTGAAAGCTTAAGATAAATCAAAGCGTAATTGTTGTCCACTGTGTTTTTACCCTATTTTTTATTTTGTTATTTTTCTTTTCGTAGTGTAGGCACATACATATACATTAATCTTAGCACTGCCAGTCTAAAAAAGTGTTATGATTCTTTTGAGTATGTTGGTAGTGCAGAAAATTAATACTGTATCTATATTATTTAAATTCACCTTTCCGATGGTTAGATTAAATTTCCTATCAGTTCATTGTTTATTACCTCCAACAGAGGTAAAATAACACACCTAAATGATAACTTGCTATTTGACTTAGCAGTTAGCTAAGTTAAACGTCCAGTGCATTTAATTGTTTACAGTACCCTCCTAGTAAATGACTAATATCTAATACCAGGCACAGGTGATGCTAGTAATTTTTAAAAATATGTCCCAGTGAGTACTGCACATAAACTCACATAAAGATATAAAAAAGGTCAATAATCAAACATATATCGATATTAAAGAAGTACATGAAACAATCATTCTAACGTGTGTCATTTTTGTTTCTCTACAGCTCGAGCACTTACGTAGAATTTGGAGACGTTAAGAGCAATACGAATGATAATGTTTACGAAAATATGAAAATATCAACCAACGGTAGGTAGCATTTTCTTGATTGTAATTACATAGTGTTTATATCTTTGTAGCATTTAAATAACATGCATCATATCTCTGTTTCGAAAGAGGTCGTATATTTGTCAACTCTGTCAATCTGTCCGCATGTCCGTCTAGCGAGTGTTCTATTGCATTTAAGTAAGAGTCTGCACAAAAGAACTTACTACAGTTTGTTTAAGCTTCAGATGCATTATTTTACTATTGCTCATCACATTGCTGTTTACAAATACGTATAGCGAGGTTGAAATTTGTAAACAATAGATAAAATCAGATCTTTTTTTTTGTCTGTTTATAAATCAGTTGCAAATTACATTTGTTTGAACATATAATAACCAGATCAAGACGATATATATTCTTATAACAAAAATGAATAAATGAGAGAAAAATGTCAGTTTTGTATAAAGTGTAACACACGAACTAAAAATAAATATGTTGATTACATGGCAAATTTTAATGAGGTTGGTAACTTATTCAGACAATGGTACTGTGTTAATTTTTGAAACAAAATGAATAGCCGTTGTTTATACATGAATATTTATCTTATGATACATTCGTCTGTAATTGAAATAACTTTTTTTTTTAAAGTTGTATTTTATAAAAAGTTTGGTTGATAAATGTATCGGTGGATGTCTCATTGATATATACCTCATACTAGTATTGTGTTTTATTAATATATCAATACTGATTCTCTTTTAATGTTTATTTCAGAGATACAGATACATCAGAAAGATACGAATTTATATGTGAACCTGGACCTAAAACCTTCAACAAAATCCTAATCTACCAGTGTTTTCTGGTTCCTTACTCACAAAATTTCACAGTCTGACATCATGAATCAATTCGGTTATGGACCGAGTTGCTTTGGGAAAGGATATCTAAATAGTTGAATATTCAATTCACATGGTAAAATTTGAACAGTCATGATACTTAACTAGTGTATGCATAGTGAATTTTAGGATTATGTGAAAGAGTAATATTGTTATACCATGGTTTTGTTAGCAATTGAAACTATGATCGTTTAATTGATTTGGTTGCGGGTTATTGCAATGTTTAAAATGATTGTAAAAAACTATATTTAACAACGAAAATGTTCTGTGTTAGTTTTCATGTTTGTTTACTACTAGTAAATCCAAAATAACGAACAGACGTTCAATTAAAGAACACTTAACCACAAACTATTCACAAATTTCTTGCTAAATTCAGATATAAGGAATACATCAAGTTGGTCAACATACGTTCGTTTCATACATAACTATGTTTTACTGTATTGACGTTTAGGTTTCCATTTTTTATTTCATATTTCAAATTAAAAAGTAATCGCTGCCATCACAAATATAAAGGTTCTATTGTTTCAGGTAGAGTGAAGGTTGGCGCCTATTAAAACGTTTAAACCTGCTGCATTTGTTTGCACATGTCCTAAGTCAGGAACCTGGTGTTCTGTGGTTGTCGTTTGTTGATGTGATTCATAAGTGTTTCTCGTTTTTTATATAAATTAGACCGTTGGTTTTGCTGTCTGAAGGGTTTTACACTTGTAATTTTTGGGGCACTTTATAGCTTTCTGTTCGGTGTGAGCCAAGGCTCCGTGTTGAAGGCCGTACTTTGACCTATAATGGTTTACTTTTACAAATTGTGACTTGGATGGAAAGTTGTCTCATTGGCACTCATACCACATCTTCTTATATCTATTTATTGATCACAAAAAAGACTACCAAACTGGCTGAATTTTGTTCTGTCCCATGTACTTTGCTTTATATTAGAAAAACAAATCGTCAAAAGTGCAGACAAATAAATCATTTATCTTAAAAATGAACTTAAACTGCTGTTAATTATCGTTAAAGTAGTTACAAATCTTTTCGTGCATTTGTCATTGTTATTCAACGCAAAATGATTATCTAAGATACCTGGAACGATCTCATTTCATAATGGATCTTTTTTGTTTACTTATAGTACTTCGAACTTATTAACCCGGTGTATGTCTTTAAGTTGTTGTTCTATTCACAAAAAGTTAATCATGCATGACTAATTAGACACGCCCCCTTAGAATAAGGGGGTCTAAAAATAGGATCGAGAAAAAAAACGGCCAGCGAAATACCATAATTATAAGACATTTGAATAGAAATACATTCCTGTCCGCCATCCGGAAATTTTTTGCTGCAATAGGAATTTGTTTACAAAATTAGTGCATATCTCATTTACTTACAGTGCTTGCAAATTCATTTCGTTTTGTTTTGGCATTCGCCTACCGTGGAAAAAAAAGGGGGGGTTGATGGGGTGTGATAGCTTAATCATGATTCAGCTTTATTCTATCACGGCATACGTTTTACCTCTAGCCAACGCTACGTTTCAGGTCGACCCAATTTGGATCTCGTCATGAATATGCATGACATTATTGCCACTGGACGTTAAGGGGGCAATCAATTAATCAGCTTCATTTAGTGATGTATAATCTTTGGATGATAATTGTAGGATTTAATTTAATTTAATATTATTTACCGTCTAAGAGATCCCAGTAGGCACAAGAACGTTTAGTATGGTTGAAAAATTTCACCTTCCCTTTTTCTAATTTCGATCAGTGGAAATCAAAGAAGGTGTATCATAAACCAGTAGAAGAAAAACTGTTCTCTCTTTTTATATTGTAATAGTAAAATAAATGGCAGCTTAACGTCAAGCGGCGCATTAATGCATATTCAGGATGAGAACATAATAATATGAATATTAATCCTGCTTTGTATAAAGTCGATTTTTAACGTGTTTGTACACAAGGTAACAGTTCGCCGGAATAAAAGTCACCTTACCCAGACACATTTCTGACTCCGAGCCGACCAGTCTTTCCTCTCACTCGTAGATACCGCGTGTTTAAAGTTGTAACAGTAAATACCAATTTTA